GGACGGGTTTCGGAGGGAGAAGAGAGGTGTGAGAACGGGGATAGAAGTCGAGGAGAAGGTAGCAAGGGTTTAGTGAAGCGAAAAAGAGCAGGATAGGTGTAGGGATTAGAGAGGGGTAGAGTAGACGCGAAGGGAAGGAGATGGGGAAAGTGAAAGAGGGGGAGGAAGGGAGGAGGAAACGGGGAGAGTGTGAGTGTGGTGTAGAGAGGCAGGGAAGTCGTGGGAAGGGGTAGGAGTAGAGTGATGGGGGGGGATAGCTAGAAGTAGAGCGAGGAAAGGAAGGAGAGGGAGAAGTGGAAACAGAAGAGGTACGGGGCGGAGGGGACAAGAGGCTCAGGGAGGATGAAAAGGAGAGATCTGAACGATTAGAAGGGAATCGTAACTATAGCTACTCCGCCTCGTCTCCGCACACAGACGTCTCACCTCATTCTTCCCGTCTCTCTACATATAATTATATTATCTATATATATATATATATTATATAACTTTCTCATCCAGTCTTTCTAGCTACCTACCTGCCCCTATAACACCTACCTCTTCATGCTGTCGTCTTCTCACTCTCCCTCTCCCCCGCTCTCTCACTTCCTCTCTCTTTCTCTCTCTTTATCTCTCTCTCTCAATCTTCCTCTCTCTCTCTCTCTGCTCGTCCTCTCTGCTCACATCTCCTCTCTTCTCGTCGTCATCTCTATCATCTCTCTCTCTCTTTTTCTCTCTCTTTCTCTCTCTCTTCTCCTCTCGTCTCTTCGTCACTCTCCTCGTGCTCTCCATCCACTTCTCTTCTCTCTCTTTCTCTCTTTCTTCTCGTCTTGGCTCAGCTCTCTCTCTCATCTGTCTCTCTCGTCTCGCTCCCTCTCTCTCTCGGCTCTTGCTCTTTCCTCTCTTCTCTCTCTCATTTCTCTCTGATCCGTCTCGTCGTCTATTTCTCCTGTCGGGTCAGTCTCGTTCTTCTCTCTCTCTCTTCTCTCCTCTGGTCTACTCTATTATCACTCTCGTCTGCGTGAGGGATCGATCATCTCTCTCTGTCCTCCCTCTCTCTCTTCCTCTATCTATGCTATCTATTCTAGTCGGTCTCGTCTCGCGTCTCCGAAGGCATCGGTCTCTATCTGTCTCTCTCTCCTCTTTCTCATCTCTAGTCTATGCTAGACTATCTCTGATCTCTCCATCTCGCTCTCCGACTCATCTCTCATCCTCTCTCTCTCTCTCCCCCCTGCTCTCTCTCCGTCTTCTCGTCTCCTGCTCGTCTTCGTATTATCTCTCCTCATCTCTCTTTCTCTCTCTGCGCTCTACTATCACCATCCTA